TAATTACGTTTTCTATAATAATCAATAGTATTAATGGTTAATACGTGTCTTCGGCCATATATCATGGCCATGGGTTAGAGAAATTCATTATTACAAAACAATAACTTTTTTTTCAGTTAAATAACATGATGAAATAAGGGTACAGAATTAATTGTTTGTATACATTTCAAAATTTAGGATATTTATTTTCAAATTATGGCGAAAAAATTATGAATATGCAAAATATTAAAAAAAAAAAAAAATCGGCCGAATGCACACGCGCAAAGATATAATAAAATAATTGATAAGCCTAGCTACATCTTATGACGTGTACTTTGGCAAGCAAATACTAACCACTTTCGATTGAATGTTTGAAAATTATGAGATCAGATATTGGGTGGCTAACTAATCCTTGTTCAAACTTCAAAGTTCAAATCACCTTTTATTTAATTAATAATTCTAGGACGTTTCTGCATTAAATTAAGCTACTTGAAATACAATGGAGACAAATTAGAGATCATATCATCGTGCTTACTAATTAAAGTTATTGATTTGACTTTAATGTCATGTAAATTATTTTGGCACAGTCTTCGGGGAAATTATTATATATTATATTTTAAAAAATCGGAATGAGAAGTATTTTATTTTATGATTTTGGATTACTATATGCTAATTCATGAAAGGAAGTCTAAGAGTTAAGACAACACAAAATATATCTGGCCCTTGAATTAAAACGAGAAAAATTATATATCCTCAGCTTATATTAAGTGAAAAGCCACTATCACTTTGCATCATTTTATATTTATATATGCATATTCCCTAGAAATGCATCAACTCGCATCATTCTTAATTGCACAGTTACGTTTACACGACTCAAGAAAGATATATACATTTTAATTAGTAGGTGAAGTTCATCTCCAATCTCTTTTATAAGAAATCTTCTTTTAAAGTGTTTGTTTGGTTCTTAAAATAATTAGGATGCGTTGAAAATTGTCTATCAAAAATAACATTTGTTTGAAACGAGATTAAAAGTACATTAATTTTGATGACCTTCATTACAGGAGGGTAATCCTGAAAAAAAATCAAATTTAAAGCATTTTAATGAGATTAATCAATTTAAACTTGGATTTCTTGATACCTGCAAGACAGGGAAGGGGGGAGGGAAAAAAAAAAAAAAAAAAGAGGAGAAGAAAGAGAGACTAGAGGGGAGGGGAGAATAATAAGAAGGAAGGGTAGATGAGTACATGGAGAAGAGAAGGAATATGGAGAGAAAAATCAGCACTCAGTTTCATCCCGTTTATCAGGCATACAAAGTAAATATGTTGAAATGCTATTTATAAATTTTTTTTTGATAAACTATTTAGAAGTTTCAACCTAATCCTAAGAATTACTAATAAAATATTTTAGAATTCTAAAATTGAATGTATTAAAACAAAATACTTTTAAATCTTTTCTAAAATAATAAAACTGTAATATCTAAAAATTTTAATTAAAGATAATTTCATATCCCATCACACACACACACACACATATATATAAAGTGAGTTGTATGAATTATAATAAGAGAAAATTAATTCCCCCAAAAAATAGTAAGAGCAAAATAATTATAACAATGGCCTTCTGTGTACCAATGTTTTTCCAGAAGTCATATTAAATTCAAATAAATTTATGGAGAACACTTAGATCAAGTTTTTATGCGTCCTATTTTTTAATTTTAAAAATAAAATATGTGATAATATACGTGTTATTAAAAAAACTTGATATAATAAATATAAAAGAATTTAATCAAAGTATTGTTATGAATTCGTATTAAGTATTTATGTGAAACTGCCCCAAAGACAATTTTGTATCGATATATTAATACCTAAACCCGAGACCTTAATTAAATGAAAAAAACTTCAACCCACTTTAAATTAATTGCTGTCGGCAACAACAATAATTCGGCTAATTTCAGCCCTCAAAATAGGATGAAAAAAGACAAGAAAAAGCATCTCCAATCCATGTCTTATATGCCATTCAAAAGAATCTAAATATCTTTTCTTCTTTCTTCCTTCCAAAATGAGAGAGAAACAAATTAAAGCACAAAACATTAATTAATTAATTAATGCAGAGACTAATTGAATTACACACACACTCATACATAAATTCGGATCGTCTCCATACTTTCCCTATAAATATATATATTTATATATCTCAATATTCTGTCTCATGACTCTCATCCATCCATTTTGATTTTAACAATGAAACATGGCTAATGATAACATTAAACTAATTATAGATCATACTAATGTATAATCATGGGAGGAAATTATGCATAGAGAGAAATATGGAGGGGATCATCATATATATTTATATATATAGTCATTATAGAAAGTACCAATGGAAGTTAAGTCTAGTAGAATTGTCAGTTTCTTATAACATGATAAACCAGTGTTTGAATTCTTAATGTTCGATAATACCTTAAACAAACCTCTAATAGAAAAATATATATTCTATTTTTTTAAAAAAAAAAGTTATTGAGAGCGCATGGAAGCACCCTAAATATATTTTTTAATAACCTAGAAATCCGGAGAATTTCATAATCAGATTTGAAGTGATTAAAGTACATAAGAAAATTTTGGGTTTGGAAGTTAAGTCAACATGAAACTTAATGCACGAGTGGCGGAGCCAACCATTCAGTTTGACAAAATAATGCTTCGAATTTTATGTATGTGTATATATATTATTTAAAGGAGATGAAGCTAGTCAACTATATATGAGATCGGCCGTTTATAATATATTAATAATAATTGAGATATACTATATAATAAAGCCACTAACACATGCATGCTTCCAAAATTAATGCCTTCATTGCCTTATTATAAAAAGCTTTAATTTAACCATGCATCAAGCAAACCATCAAAATTATATATGTTTATCCGCCAACTGGCTTTGCCTATAATTATATCAAATATTTCTTTTAAAAAAGTTAGCAATATTCAATTACTATCATCGTTATTATTATCATTATCATTAGACTCCATTCAAAGCTTCTTGCATGACAAGAAGAAATATTTATGAATATTTACATGTACATACATACAAGAAAGACATTAATATATATATATATATATATTAAAAATTCTCAATTGTTTCCCCACTATTGTTAGTGCTGTTTTGATGCATATCACATGTACACCTATAGGGAGAAAAAACTAGAATAAAGCTTGGCCCTTTTTGAATAAACTTTTTATTTTAACATTACCTACTAACTTAAATTTGAACGTTTGTAAAACTTACATAGTTATCCGTTTGACCCAAAAAAATAGATACTAGCTCTTCCAACATAATTTTTATTACTGTAGTTTGAGTTTCTCAAGTTTTGCTGTGAGATAATTTCACTCGACACTTTTGATACTATTTAGTACCATTCTGTTTGTACATATAAATCACTTGTATTTGATTTTCACATACTAAAAAATGCATTAAATTAATAAAAATTTTCACACTTGCCCTTATTTAAAAAAGGGTGTTGAAAAATACTACCTCCGGTCTTTAATATAAGACCCTGTTTGACTTTTATTTTAGTCCTAAATATAGGACCCCAATCCACTTTGTCTCTCATATTTATATATTTTTTTTCCAAAGTAGTCATTCTAACAATAATAGTTCTAGTCAATACACTTGATTAGCAAGGATATTTTAGGAAAGACAACACCTATTTAGGACAAATAACTAACTCAACTTACTTCCTTAATCTACTCAAATTAGTCAACTGGCTCTTATAATTAGGACCGGAGGTAGTATCTTGTATATTTTCTCTTACATATCTTCTTTGTTGAGTTGAATAAGAGTAAAATTGAAAAAAGATCATTAATTACCTTACAAGTAACTTATACTCCTTTAGTCCTGTTTATAAATCACTTTCAACATATTTCACATAGACTAAGAAAAACTTTAAACTTCATTAATTTTTATTTAAAATTTAAAATTTTTTTAACTTTATTCCTATTTAATATATGTTATATTTCATGTAAACAAAATTAACACAATAATAAATGAAAGGTAAAATCATGTATCTATGCAAAAAATTTCTCTTAGTGCCTTATAAATAGAACTAAAAAATGTCTTCTTTCTCTACCTTATAAATAAGACTAGAAGAGTATTTAAAAACAAACTTTTCTCTTCCAAATGGCTTGTATATACGAACGTAGGGGTATATTTTATTTGATAGTTAAGATTGCAAGGAGCATTACAATAATGAAATTAGGGCTCATACACATAAATTTTATTTTTTAAAATATTTTTATATAATTATGATATTTAATATAATTAAGCTGAATGTTTTTAAAAAAATTAATACTATAAAAAATAATACTCCTCCGGTCCTTAATATAAGACCCATTTAACTAATTTGATTAGATTAAGGAAGTTAGGTAAGTTAGTTAATTATAAGAAAAGTGACACATTTTTCCTAAAACACCATAATCATCTTTTTTAATACGTTCTCCCTCTTCTATTTGATTATGGTTGAGAGAGTATCTATAGGGGTAATTTAGAGAAAATTGATAAATATGAGAAATGGGTCTTATATTTAAGACCAAAATCAACTCAAGAATTGGGTCCTATATTAAAGACCGGAGGAGTAACTCAAAAAGGTCTAGATAATGAAGACATACAGATAAGATACAGGAGTTTAATGAATTTATGACGGTCATGGGATTGTATAATCTGAAGTTTGAATAAACACATGTTGGACCAATGCATCTCTCTCTCTTTCTCTCGCTTCACAGGGAGATAGAGGTAGAGAGAGGGGGGTCCACATTAAAAAAGCCAACTTGGAGGCAGTTGTGCACAGTAATGAAGAAATACCAGTCAGCACTCAGCACCCTCTTTGTATTATGAGAGTAACGTATAATTAAGGCATCAACATCCTCAATCCCCGCCTTCTATATACACACACACACCCTCTCTCTCTCCTCTAATCTCACCCCTTCTCTCTCTCTCTCTATCTCTCTATCTCTCTCTGGGCACAATATCACATCAGAGAGAGAAACCCAGATCGGAAAACTACTCTAATTTCATCACCCTCTGTGTTTTGTTTTTATATTAAACATTAGTTAGCTTAGGTTTTCAACACTGACATTAATGGCATTGAAAAGCCAAGTTCGGCGTCTCTTCTTCTTGTTGTTGTTATTGCTGGGCCAGTACGCCGTTTCTGCTTCCTCCGGTGCTGCTTATCACGACAGCGGTGTTCCCAAAGAGCAAGAGGACGATCGAATGTCCGCCCTCCCCGGACAGCCGGCGGTCCCTTTTTCTCAGTTCTCCGGCTACGTCACCGTCAACGACGAGCATGGCCGAGCACTGTTCTACTGGTTAACGGAGGCTTACACTTCCCCTCACACCAAGCCTCTCGTTCTCTGGCTCAATGGAGGTAATTAATTAAATTAAGCATTCCCTAACTCATCGTATTATTTTCTCGAATTCTCACCAAGAAAATGGAAGTATATACGCATGATCAATCGATAATGTGATGAGAAAGCAGTCACTTTTTTGAAACTGATTCTCTCGGTTATCTTGTAACGATCATATGTGGAAATCTATACATATACGATTACAAAAGAACTAAAAAATCATGTGAATGTGGGAATCTGGCTGTGCTTAGTTTAAGATTTCAAATTTCCGAGAATAACTGGTGATTAAAAGTTGAGGTAACGTTTTGGTTTTTACTGTGCACAAGACAAAAGATAGAGAGAGGTGAGTAGATATAATTAATTACAAGAGTTTATTGAGCAGTAAACTAGCTGGGTTCTGTATGGTGATGACTCATGATTGAGCAGTAAAAAAACAGGGATATTAGTTATAGGGATGGGTCACAGCTACGCTATGAGGAAGAGGATGGGGTACTACGGTGTTATAAATAATAAGTAGTCGTAGTAGTAATAAAAAAAAAATGTAATAGGATATATGATTGAAAAGAATAGGATTGCAAGTGACCAACTATTGTTGACTCTTTGTATATATTCGCCTTCTTGTGTTTGGCTATGGGGGAGACCTATATTTACATGCATCTGCCGAACTTTGAGCCCACCCATTAACACTCCCTATTCTTCTTCTCCTACCTGACCTCCGTTTTCCTCCTTCTCCGATGCTGCCACAGCTTGTCTCTACGTTTTTGGTTTTACCTTTTTTCATGTTTTGTGTTCACCTAGGGAGAAATCTTGTTATGTGAGGCTAGCAGCAGGTTGGGCTACCTGTCATGCCTAAGTTACCAATTGAATGAGGTTTTAGTTTAGACTTAAGGGGTGATTGAACATCTCATTATCACTTTTCAAAAACACTTTTCTGCAAATCGAGAAAACTCCTCCATATATTTATTTCGTATACCGTAAAAGCATTTCTGAACTATTTTATTATTACCCAAACATCCCTTTAGTGTTAATGTCATGAATTAAGATTCGATTCTCTGGTAGGAGAAGTACTCATATTTAATACTCGACCGTGTTTCGAACAGAATTACTTCTAATAAAAAGATTTTTGTGCTAAGAAAAAAATATGTTTGTGTGTGCAAGTGTTTTAAATTGATTATAATTAAAAAGAAACGGTAAAAATGAGGGCTTGGAAACAATTTTTATAATATTAATTACTTTCTAAACTGAATAGTTGTTATATGTTAAATATTAATGACTGAATACTTGTCTTTCTTTATGTCTTTTGATTATGATTAGGAGTTAATTCTTAATTTTCCCTTAAATTTTACATTTTATTTATTTTTAAGTTCAATAAATATTTTTCTTCCAAATTAAAGGATAGTTATATATTTTTAATAAATATTTAGAAATACTATATATAATTTATTCTTTGTTTTTAAACGATATTTTCCTAGATTTTAATATAAAACAGAAATATTAGCTTAAACTAGCTTAGGTGGGAAGGAAAGTAAAAAGATTCAAACGTTTCTCATATTTTCTTCTAATATTTTAACAAAAATAAAACAAAGAGTTGTGTAATTTTTGATAGGTCTTTCTATTTTATACGCTTGTTCTTATTTTTAATGTGAGATCTATTAGTCTATCTGCAAACTTTGACATTTAGGAAATTAATTATATGGAAGGATATTATATTTAAGGAATAAATATATTTATCTCAATTGTTTTTCTTATCTTTTGAAAATAAAACGAACGAGACAACGAGTTTTTGCATCATGTTCCATAAATAGATGGTTGGCCTTGCTTTTGACCAAGAATATATTATTGGACTTTCTCTTAGCACGCGTCGGCCCCCCCATCGCGCACATAAGCAAATACACGTTATTTCCTGCTAAGATACGCTTTATCGCTGTCTATGATTCTGAGGAGGACGTGTGAAAACAAATGGAAATAGAGGACAACTGGCTGTTGAATATACAAACAGTACATTATCATGAGCTCCCTGGAATTGAATCAGAAAAAGGAAGGGAGAAAGAAATTATACCCACATGGGTCCTCGTGATCTTTCTCTGTCTGTATCTTCCTTCAGCTTTTTATTCCCTTCTATTCCTGACGTCCTGGTCCTCCTTTTGGATCAAATCTCTATTGCCCTACAAAAACAAACAAAAACCACAAGTGACTCCAATTTCCCCTTTTCTCTCTTCTTTCCGCGCTTTTCTCTTTGTTCTCGCTTTGCATCTCAGCTTAAAACAAACAGGAACAAAGCCAACCACCTTTTCCCCTCTTGTCCCTACACAAAGATGCTTTCTTTCTCTTTCCTTTTCTCCACTGTGTGACTGTGTTTTCTTCCTCTCTTCGAAGCACGCGTACCCAGAGCCCAGAAAGGGATGGTGGTGGTTGCTGCGGACTTTGTGGTGGTGGACATGCTTGGTTCTCTGCGTCATGGTTGTGTGTGGGGCAAGGGCAACTCGAAATTCTGTGACCCAGATATTCTGAGGTTTCAATTTATTACGTCCTAGTAGTGTTTGAATTTTATATTGGAGCCACTATGAAGCAAACAAGTTGTTTTGGTTCGTCGTCTCTGTCAGGGTAATAATAATTCATGGGTTGGTGAAATTCAAGGTCGCAAAATTTGCCCTTTACCTGATTGTAAAATTGACAATTCAAACCAATGGGGTAGATGTTAACAGTTTAGCAAGGCTAGCTCGCATTTCTGCTTTGGTCTGTCATGTAGAGTGTAGGCCTTCTCAAATTAGGTCAGTGAATAATTTTGAACTTTCGTATCTAGCTGTTTTTATTCAAATAACATAGAAGCAAACAGCTCCAGCCTCACAAAATAGTGCTGGCTGTTAACTGGCAATTCTTGGCCCCTTTTTAAGGGGTCAGAAATGAAGAATCATTACAAATCCGTATCTTCCTTAACTATAATAAGAACAAATTTATATAATATTTTACAAAGAAATAAAACAAAAAGAAATTTTAAATGGATGAATAAGTTCTACTTACATTCTTTTGTATTATTTTATTTGGAATATATTGATATATGATTGTAGATTATTTAACTTAAAATCATTATATGCCTCATAAGCAGATAAACAGGCTGCTCTGTCCTGTCAGTAGCTGAGGCATTTCTAATTTTTACCCAAGCACTTGTCTGGGTCTTGTATTGCATGGAGTTTAGGAAATACGTCATATTATTCATGACTTATAAATTGAACAATTTGTTATTAGAGGTTTTACATTATATACTAATACAGAGACATGAATTTCTGCAACCACAGCAATGATATCGCTTCTCTGACGTATAAATTAAAATGTGCTTCCCATGATCTCTTCTGCATGTAAAATATGTATGTTCTTATCACTCTCATAGGTTCATAACGGTGTTCAAAACATATGTAAGCATTTTATTATTTCTATGATCCAATAATCGAATTAACATTTTGTACGAAATTAACCAAACCTATAATTTTTTTGCTGGTTCAGGGCCGGGTTGCTCATCAGTAGCATATGGAGCATCAGAGGAAATTGGGCCATTCCGGATAAATAAAACTGGTACTTCGTTGTATCTTAACAAGTATTCATGGAACAGAGGTAACGGTCATCATTAAGATTTTTTTTTTTTTTCCTTTTTAACCGTTAGCCCATCCTTAAGAATGACAATTTTCTGAAGAGTTGAGTTTCTTGTTTGTTTTCTTCAGAAGCAAATATTCTCTTTCTTGAATCGCCTGCTGGTGTAGGTTTCTCCTACACAAATACAAGCTCTGACCTCAAAACTACTGGGGACGAAAGGACAGGTACATGTTTGATGTTGAGATTTTATTGGATTCACACCATTCATTTTCATTAATATGCATAAGCCCTTGTATTTACTTCCAGTAATTAATATGAGAATTCTCAAATTTGAAACACAGCTCAGGATGCTCTAATATTTCTAATCAGATGGATGTCAAGATTCCCTCAATATAAGTACAGAGACTTTTACATCTCTGGAGAGAGTTATGCAGGTGAATGAGCAGCGACACTACCAGCTTATCATACTAATGCTGCAAATTTTAGCTGATTATCGTGGAAATGGAAGCTAACATGTTTATTCCTTTTTCTTCTGTCTAGGGCACTACGTTCCCCAGTTGGCTCAAAAAATTTACCATTATAATAAAGCCAATCCCCAGATCATTAATCTCAAGGGTTTCATTGTAAGTCAATTCTTCTTTCCATAATATACTCTAGGCCTCCGGGTAGCTGATCAAAGGGGTGTCGGTTTATTCATGGATGACATCTCTTCATACCAATCCAAGTTCAATTTTGAGGAAGTAAAATCTTGAATACTGCATTTTGATATGAAGAACTGTACCTTTAGAAGTCTCCAAAGAGGGGATTGTCTTTGCTCTGTTACCAAACAATATACTTTTTACCTAGCTTTTGTTATACTTCTTTGTTCTTTTGTTTTAGTATTTTAAATGCAACCAAAAAAATGCAGGTGGGAAATGCTGTGACGGATAACTACTATGATGGAATTGGAACTGTGACATATTGGTGGAGCCATTGTATGATATCTGATAAATCATACAAAACTCTCCTCAAACACTGCAATTTCACGGCAGAGGAAACATCTAAAATATGTGATGATGCTGTGCGTTATGCAATTAACCATGAATTTGGACGCATTGATCAGTACAATATTTATACCCCAACATGCAGGAGTAACAGTACTGTACAGTACATGAGGCTCAGAGTACAATACTACATAGGATCTCAGGGTATGACCCATGCACTGAAAATTATGCAGAGAAATACTATAATCTTCCTGAAGTGCAAAAAGCAATGCATGCTAATGTTACAGGCATTCCTTACAAATGGACTGCATGCAGGTCTGCTTTTTTACTGTGCTCTATTCATAATGATATTCTTTTTTTTTTCCCCTGACTTTTCTGAAATCAATATTTAATATTTTATCTTTTGTTGATGGAACAGTGATGTGCTCTTAAAATACTGGAAGGACTCTGCAGTTTCTGTATTGCCCATTTACAAAGAGTTAATTGCAGCTGGTTTGAGAATTTGGGTTTTCAGGTATAGTTCAAACGCACTAGGGTAAAGTAATACCTAGGAGAGTTTTCATAAGAGCATAGTATGAAGTTATGGATGAACCTCATTTATGCTTGCAAAACACTTATATATATTA